TGTAAATAACTACAAAAATTACTTTTAACTAATAACTAATTACTAAATAACTAATTACTTTTTTTTCGTGGCAAGCAAAAAATTACATTAAAATAATCTATTGGGCCAACCAGGACATTAGAAATAATCATTAGTGTTTAGCCCTGTATAAGTCTAAAATTTATTTCATAAAGGTCTTAAAAGGGTCTTAAAAGTCTTAAATTTGACTTGTAACCTGCAGAAACCATGTTTAAAACTATTAGCGTTTTGGTTTCTTGTAAAAAGACTCTGTTCCCAGTAAGATACAGAGTGTCTGCAAAGCTGGGTTGCAACAAAACACATTTTGCTTTACTGAAACTAAGTTAGATGTTGTATGTACTGACTTTGCTAAAGCAGTTTATAGCCTCTTACATTACTGTAATTAAGAATGCATTAATGCAATTATTTCTATCTTTCTTTCTAAGCAGGATTTAGATTTCAGAGCGAGAAACGTGATTGTGCAAAACTGAAATATAAGGTTTTTCAGCAAAACTGTCAATTATGTCCAGCCTTTTTATTTTTTGTGCACTTACACTAGTTTTACTTTTTATTTCTCTCCGTCCATCAATCCGTCTCCAAAGTAACCACAGGGATCTCTTCTTTATAATGTGACGGGTTGTCTTGTAAAAAGTTTTCTGTTGGCATTTTGTTTGAAACCGGCGTAGTTTTGGCAGTAAAGATCAACAGTAAATGCTGCTGCGGTGGGAGAAACTTCAGGCCTTGTATGTTTGCTTTGGAATGTTAAAAGGGTTTAAATTATTCTCCGCTTTCTTCGAAAGGGCTTATTATAGGAGCAGAACGATGTATAGTATTACAGTTGGTCATGAGATGGTCCTAGTAGTTTGTCTTTATGTTTTTATAGTGGTTTTGAAAGCTTGGATGCAAAGCGGCGTTGGTAATGATATCCAGCTAATTAGATTTCTGACATCCAGCTGGAAAGCACACAGATCTGTTTGTTTTATGAGAGGTTCACTGCTCATACGGTAAATGAATCTGATTTGAGGGTTTAAGAGACTCGAATAATCTTAAATGTCCAAGTGTTTAATATTGTGGTTGAATATGTGACTCATGATTTATCACGGTTCATTTCAGAACCATATTATGCAAATTTACATATCAAACAATGTTTTTACGTTTCTCTTTCACAATTTCTCCTTCTCCTTCACTCAAGCACATCTCTCCAATAAACACAATCGGCGTATAAGCAGATAATTGAAGAAAATAAGAATGAGCTGAGCGTTATTTTGTTTTTAAAAAGGTTGAACTGTTAAACGTTTAATCAAATGCAGTAAACTTGCTAATTTGTTTATTTCCTGTAACCTCAGATTGTGAATGGCTGAATCTGTAAATTTGTAAATTGAAATATAACATTTATTTAGGAAACCCAATTAATTAATTGAATTCAATGCAGTAGAAGCAGTTTTGGACAGAAATTGTACCATTTCACAGATGGTTAGCAATCACTATTGTTTATTTATATATTTATTTTTTTTAAATTTTTTTTTTACATAGATCATGTCATAAAATAGAAAAATTATCAAAACTTATTTATTTATTTTTAAGAAATGCTAATGATCAAATCCAATTCAATCCATCATGCTTAGCTAAAAGTGACCCAACCAGAACAAGAAATCCGCTGCAATTTTTCAAAAAAGGTGGAGAAGACACCTGCTGCGTCTGAAATTTGCATACTTCCATACTATAAAGTATGCTAAAAATCATATGTGAGGTGCAATGGTGTGAAATAACTAATTATAAAAACTCAAATTACTGTAATTGAGTAGTTTTTTCTCAGGAATTGTAATTTACTAAGTAGTTTTAAAACTTATTACTTTCCTTTCACCTACAGTCACTACTTTATTTCTTTCTTTTCTACGGGGATTTGAAAAATCAGTCCTGTGATATCTGTCCAAACAAATGACACATAGAGGTAAATCACATCATAATGGACTACCTCAAGACATTTATAATTGCAGCAAACCGTTTGGAAGCATTAAAAGTGTCCAAGAAGATGTCCAAAATCTTTACACGCAATGAATCAGAGACTGTTTAGATGCATGTCACTGATGAGAAGGTGACAGATGTTTACTGTATGTTGACACGCAGCAGGCACAGGACATCAATATGACGTCAGATTGACGTTATACCCTAACGTCATAGTGATGTTATATTTTGTTTGGAAATTATAATTGGGTTGATGTCAGAACTCAACGTCAGGCCGACGTCAATGTCCAACATCCAACCTAAAATCAGCCAAATATCAACATCTAATGATGTTACAGCTTGACGTTTTGTGGATCTTATCGTTACGACGCCTATCAGAAATTAGATTTTGGTTGCCATACCAGATGAATAAATGTCAGTATTTAACGTCAATATGACATTGGTTTAAGACAGGAGTCACCAATCTCGGTCCTGGAGGGCCGGTGTCCCTGCAGGGTTTAGCTTTAACTTGCCTCAACACACCTGCCTGGATGTTTTAAGTATACCTAGTAAGACCTTGATTAGCTTGTTCAGGTGTGTTTGATTAGAGTTGGCCCTCCAGGAACAAGTTTGGTGACCACTGGTTTAAGATGTTGGCTCGACATTGGATTTTGGTTACTTTCTAGCAACCTAAAATCAACCAAATATCAACGTCATTTGACAATGTTATTTGACATCAAAATAATGTTATACTTAGATGCTGACTAGATTGAATTTTGGTCAACTGACATCACAAGCTAAATTTAACCTAATATTAACATCTTTTGATGTTGTGTGCCTGCTTGGCAATAACTAAATTCATAGAATTCGAAAAACCACGGGAAGTACCCGGAAAACCTACTACTTCTGCTGAGATTCTGAAGTGCGCATCCGATGGGCGATACATATAGCACCACGAGAGAATTTATGAATGGGAGTGAAGCGTCGCAACTGACGCGGGTAGGTCACGTGATCTTGACAAAAGTGCAGATGTAGTGCATGCAAGTTCCATCATACTGCTCACATTCATACTGTATGGATTTGGAACATACTTTTCTTTTTATAGTCGAGTAGTAAATTCAAATGTAGTACCAGAGTAGTAGGCGATTTCGATTAAAAATATTCAGTTATTATTAACTCATTGTTTATTGGACTCTAAACTAATAATTACATTAGCAGTCATATTATATTTTAGGGAAAAAAAGATTTTAGGCCAAAAATAGATTTTATGTATTTTGCTCATAAGAAAAAGAAATTATTGTTATCCAGACAGATTTATTCATTATATTATGACAAAAACGGTTTGCATTATTTAGTGCTTATTTGGCAAAATGCTCCTCTCTAAAATGTTTTCTAGCTGACTAAAGACTTTTTGAACATTTAATTTACTGAACCCCAGAAAGCAATGCAGTGTTTACATCGATTTCAACATTTTTCTTTAAACATATTTCCACAGCTAAACACTGATTCAGTGTATTACACAAGACATTTAAACAGTCATGCGTCTCTCAACATACATTGTACTCCTACTATCTGACACGAGTCACGACACACCAAAGAGTCTCTAACTTGCATTTATTGTTTGTAGTTTGTGACAAAATGATGTAAGCATTAAAACTCTGAGATGTTCAATTTTACATGTAGTAAGCACAAAGTGTGCAATAATTGGATGTTTGGTATCTCTATATGTGTTTAGTGACTTTCTTCTATCAGTAGAAAACAAGATCTTGCAGAATTAGGACTTCATTGCACTTTTCAGACTGATCCCATGGGCTATACTTAAATAAAAATGACTTGTATAAAATTTATTAGCAAAAATCATAATTCTCTATGTAGGAAACATCCTGTCACTTCCCTTCCATTGTCATCTGAGCATATGATATACTGTTGGCAAATATCCCAATGGCTCCACTGCTAACTTAGGCCTTTAGAATATATAAACGGTTAAATTTTTTTCTCTTACTACCTAAATAAACATAAATCTGAAGTTACAGTGGACAAAAGCAGCAGTTAAAGCATGTGATGCCGTTGATGTGGATATTTCCACAAACTTGGCAATTCAGCTCTCACGTCATCACATCATGCTTATTTATACAACGGTTTATACAGTAGATTGTGTTATAGAATGTTTAGCATATATATATAAGACTGAAATGAACCAGATTTTTATTTTAAAGAAGTCTCACTCAATACCTCTACCATCATGGCCACAAACTAGTGAAATTTCAAAGATGTTTACCAGCCTTTTGTCTTTAAAATGTTTGCTCGGGATGGCTGTTTTTAGCTTCTCAAATGTAGTTTGTTTTAACCAGATTTGGCTCACAATGACATCAGACCTGCTTAATTTACAGGATGTCGAGAGTTTCTAGTTTGTCTGAAATCAAACATCTTTTTTTTGCTTTACTCTGGTTTCAAAGACTTTATTATCAGCAGTATTAGAATTATTAAAGTTATAGTGCCTGTTGGAAGTCGGTCCCACTTTATAATAAGTGGCCTTAACTAATATGTACTTACACCCAAATTAATAATTAGTTATATTGTACTTATAGTTTAAATGCATGTTTTTACACTGTACTTATGCTTGATTACATACCTGTTTGTAATAACATCTGTAATAAATTTCTGTAATTACATTTGTAATTACACTGTTGACCGTTCCCTATACCTTAACCCACCCTTTAACCAACCCATGCCAATGGCTACTTTATGCAACATTCTTCAGAATTTCTTTTTTTGTGAAGATAGAAAGTTTAGAACCACCTGAGTGTGATTAAATTACAATTTCTTTTCAGGTGAAATATCCCTTCAATTTCTTATGTTTTAGACTTTGTGGCTTTGTAACTTTGCATATCGTTTGCATGTACACACATGTGTATTACACTACAGAAAGGTACTAAAAAAGGCATAATGGCTGCCCTTTAAAAAGTGCACAAATATTTTTATGAAAAATTACTGTTCAAAGAGACAACAAAGCCAATAAATGTTATTTTTTGTGTGTGTTTTTGTCAATTGTTATGTAGGCAGTCAGCCTCTGAGCCCCAGTTTCCATCAGAGGTTTGAAGAGCAGGGGATTGTGGGTGTTCAGGATCGGGGCAGTGTGCTTCTTCCAGTACAGCCGTATCCAGCAGAGGAGATGCTGAGGCCTAGTCTGACCAGAGGAGTGTCCGTCTCTCTACCCTCCTCCCCGCTGCTGCCTCCCAGACAACCATACCTGTCACCCGTCCGGACCAATAAGTCACCAGGTACATACAAGACCCTCTTTTTACCATTTCATCACTTGTATCTTCCACGCCATGTCAGGTTTTCAAATAATTGGTCATATACAGGAAGGAAATCATGGAATTAAAGTAACTATCGTCTTTAATTCCCTATTATGGAAAGTTATGGGTTTAACTAGGTAAAACGCTTTCTCAAACAATAATTATTTTTTTATCCATCAGGATTTGATTGAATGGTTCTGAGATTTACTATTGACTTGTCATTAGAAAAAAGATTTTATCACAAGAAGGAGAGATATAATATGATTAACAAGAAGGTCCACACTTTAATAATTAAATAAAAAATGAAAAACAGGAGAAAAAAATAACAAAAAATTCTACCCTGAGCCTTCGTCAGTAAACATTATGATTACGCAATAATAAAAGCAATGAGATATTTTACAGAAGTAGAATGAGGTTTTGAATGAGCGTTTTGGAAGGGCCACTTCATAATATTGGTCTTAATGGATTCATGAGGCTGATTTGGTGTGGTGGCCATCTATTTGTGCTGACTTCATAGTGTACACTAACTTTTTTGACTCAATGCCCTTTGTTGTCTAACAGCTATATCCTCTCATAGTTGTGCTGTAATTATCACAAAGCTTCTTGTTTTCAAACCAGGTCAGAAACCAAGCAAGTATGTGATATCGTCAAATCTCAATTGATGGCTTGCAGGTGTGTTCAAGTCATGGACTGCAGGGAACAAAAACACGGTGCAAAATCCTAATATTCAAATATTACCTGCCAAATAAGTGTACTCTTACTGATAAAAGTCTTGTCTATCCAATTTTAGGAACAACAAATAATAAATTGACTTCCAGTTTATTATTTAGTATCAGAAGTGGCTTAAATGAAAGGCAAAGGCCTCTAGATTACGCTCATTTTACAAAAATCAAATCCCTTGATTTTCAATTATTTAATTAGGACAGTAAGGTCTGACTTTGCTTAGACAAAAGTTTTGTCATTCAACAGAAATAATGTAGAGTATATAACAAAGTCATAAAGCAGTGGAAAAAGAATGAATATTGTGGATGACTCTCATGAGTCATACATCTCTGCAATCACTCAAATAACTTATTAATAAAGTCATTCTGAAATGGCAAAGAAAGCGTTCTTGCAGGACTCAGAGAGTCCTCACTTGCAGAGAGTTTATCAAGATTCTTTGGATTCATCTTGAATGCCTCCTTCATCTTACCCCAGACATGCTCAATAATGGTCATGTCTCGCAAATGGGCTGGCCAATCCTAGAGCACCTTGACCTTCTTTGCTTTCAGAAACTTTGGATAAAAAATATTTAGACCCATAGTTAAAAAGTAAGTACATTTTATTTATATTGTTTAGTGTTGAACAAACTCAAGGATGGGAAGTGGGTAAGGAAATTAAAAGCCAAGACACACTGATACAAAAATGTTTTGGTTTTGAAATAATATTAATTTGCTTACTCCATTAGCAGATTATTTATATTTCAGGAAATATTCACTTAATTTTGACAGGTTAATTTTGAATGTTGTTTATTTGTCTGGAAAATGCTTCTTGATTTAAGACTTTTTTTAATGCTTGGACTAGAAACAAGACAAAAACTCTTAAGTTAGAAAAGCATTTTTGCAGCGCACTCATTTTTAGCTACCTGCAATAGCTGAATTGAGAACTAATGAATGAAATCTAGCATATAGTGTGTAATTTATGGATTACGTTATCATTGTGGCATTGTTATCTCTCTGCTGATTCACCCTGATGAGAGCTGCCAATCACATCAGAAGAGAAACTCTTGGCAGACAGTTCTTCCCACAGTCTTGCACCTCTGGTTGTGTGGTAATACACACATTATCTCAATGTGCTGCTGAATTAAAGCCGTTCTTAATTAGAATGCTTTCCAGAACACATTTTGTATTAAATAAAAAGGGAGAAATGCTGCCATTTGTCAACACAGTTCATTCCTGATTGGCTTTTAAGATCCATTTGAATGTTTATGAGCACTATTCGCAATATTGTTTTAGATTTTATTTTATTATCTACCATTAAATGTCCCAAAGGGGTAATGAAAGTGTTTCTCTGTAATCATTTCTCATGTTTGCTGTTGTTAATGGCAGCATTATTGTGCCTGTAATGCTGTATTTGTGCCTGCAGGTGGCAGAATACACCACATCTCCACTCAACAGACAAACCGTTTGCTTTTTAATAATACATGTGCATGATTTAATTATTATTTCATTCTGATTGTTATCATTTGAAGCTAATAAGATTGTCATATATCCACTAATGACAGTCATCATCTCATTTTCTATAACCATTTACTTCTCTTGGAAATTGTCGCTTTATTTAACTAGTATGCAAACAATACATTTTATACTTTTACACTAAAATAACGTTTATTTATCATTTTTAAAAAGTATTAATACTTAATAATAGTAACAACCAACATTGTTTTCTCTCAAACAGTCATTAAAAATGTAATGCAGTTTCACCAGAGGTGCAAGAACAGTCTGAAAAGTCGATGCGACTTTTCTAAAACCTTCAGCTCGGCTCATGCATATTAATTAGGTGATGAAATAGTCATGCATGAGTCCGATGTGATTTTCTGCAGTGCTTCTACAGGCCAATCAAAACAAAACAAAATAACAAACTCTTGAAATATAATGCTCTTTCTCAACAAGTGTGGGGGTTGAAGAAGCGTCAGTTCTAATACAGCTGCAGCTCTGAGTATTATTATTATTATTGCAGATGTCTACACTTATTGATGTTTCAGGCTCCTGTTTGATATTTGAGGTTTTGTGTGAGCTAGGAGCCACTGTGAAGTTAAATGAACAAATGTTCTTGCAGGCTATGAATGAATGAATGAATGAATGAATGAATGAATAAATAAATAAATAAATAAATAAATAAATTAAAAAAAAAAAAAAAAAAAATATATATATATATATATATATATATATATATATATATATATATATATATATATATATATATATATATATATATATATATATAAAGACATTTATAGGTTTTATACAGCAAAGGTGCATTGATCTGTTTTTACATTGCTCTGGCTAGTGGTATAGTCCACAGTCGGCGGTCAATTCTTATTTATATGAATAAAAATAAATTACATATTTTATTCAATTAAATAAAATATAATATAAAATATAAAAATAATGATTTCAACATTGTTACAATTTTTGTCTTTTGCTCCTTATATGAACTAACTAACAAATCTGTTTATCAACATTGATAATGTTCAAATAATTTCTTGAGCACCAAACTGCATATTAGAATGATTTCTGAAGGATTATGCGGCACTGAAGCCCATTCTCTTCTTTGAATATATAAATTTTTAATTTTATTGTTACTTTTGCAAAATTAATTAACAATACAATACAAAACGTTATTGTCAGACTTGCCTCTGAAAGGTTTCTTGCATAACAGTATGATAAATACTCCTTACAAAGAGACAGACTTACAAAAAGCTTCAAGACGGCCTAATGTACAGATGACTTTTAATTTCACTTTATTAAAACTTGGGATTGTAAATCGACGGTTAGACTTTAAATTCATGATTTAATACATGACTAGGGTTAGAAATGATGTTTCTTGCCAGCCTTTTGAGGTTTTTGTAATCCGAACGGTCATATAATTTCTCAAAAGGCTTTCCTACTATCTTTGAACAGATTTTAATCTGGTTCATGAACTTTGTTTTTAGACACACAGACAGACTGATGTACTATACAGAATTACAATACTGCAGAACACTCATAAGTACAGACAAATTGTTCAAGAATATTTTTCGATGGTCCAAAAGATCTAAGATTCTGACTTTATAACCTGCAACTCTGACTTTTTATCTAAGAATTCTGACTTTTTTTTTTCTGACAGTTTATATCATGCAATTGCCACTTTTATTTCTCAGATTTATGACTTTATATCTTGGAATTGCAAAGTATTTTGCAGAATTCTGTGTTTATTTCTCAGAATTGTGAGTTTACATATTGTAATTCTGACTTAATATCTCAAGATTTCGAGATTTCGAGTTTACATCTCACAATTGTGAGAAATTTTATTTTATTTCACACAATTCTGAGATAAAAAGTCACAATAACCTTTTGTTATTCTTTATTTAGTGGCAAGAACGGGCTTTCATTGAAAGCAGTAGTAATGATGCTTAAAAGTTGCAGTCATGTATATTATTTCTGTTGGACACATAAGAAGTTATTTTAAAAAATGTTGAAAACGTGTAACCATTGACTTCCATAGTTCCATATATTTCCTAATATGCAAGTCAGTGGTTACAGTGTTTGTGTATGTGTGTGTGTGTTCAATAGAATAAAAGAACTCATAATGGTGTGAAACCACTTAAGTGTGAGGAAATGTTTAATTTTGGGAATTCAACTAACCCTTTAACAACAAGCAATTTTAATATTACTTATTTTTCTTTTTTGCTCTGTATGTAGGATTGCTCAAAGGTACAGGTATTTTGGAAAGAGGTGGCTATGTTCCTTTTTGAAATGGTATCTGTAAAACTGTCCAGGAAATCGGAAATCTTTATTTTGGAAATTACTTATGAATATATTGATTGCCACAACAGCACTCATAAACTTATTAATATAAGTTCATCAAATTGCAAAGCTTCTAATAGCTTTGTATTGGAGAAAAAATGGAAATACCATCTATTGTATAGTGGATCAATAATATGTCCTTCTGTTTAGCTATGGAAAAGATTTCATACATGTTAAAAGGCAAATTTACTGCTTTTTAAAAAAATGCGGACACCCTTCATATATCTTTTTTCTTTTGATTCAAATTTCAGCAGTTTGCTTAACGAAACAGGATACACTCACTGGCCACTTTATTAGACACACCTGTCCAACTGCTCGTTAATGCAAATTTCTAATTAGTTAATCACATGGCAGCAACTCAATGCATTTAGGCATGTAGACACAGTCAAGACGGTCTGCTGCAGTTCAAACCGAGAACCAGAATAGGTAAGAAAGGTGATTTAAGTGACTGATTATGGCATGGTTGTTGGTGTCAAGTGGGCTTGTCTGAGTATTTCAGAAACTGCTGATCTACTGGGATTTTCATGCACAGCCATCTCTAGGGTTTACACTGAATGGTCAGAAAAAGAGAAAATATCTAGTGAGTGGCAGTTCTGTGTGCACAAATGCCTTGTTGATGCCAGAGGTCAGAGGAGAATGGTCATATAGAATGGCAACAGTAACTCAAATAACCACTGGTTACAACCAAGGTATGAAGAAGAGCATCACTGAACGCACAACACGTCAATCCTTGAGACGGATGGGCTACAGCAGCAGAAGATCACACCAGGTGCCACTCCTGTCAGCTAAGAACAGGAAACAGAGGCTACAATTCTCACAGGCTCAGCAAAATTGGACAATAGAAGATTGGAAAAATATAGTCTGGTTTGATGAGTCTTGATTTCTGCTGCGACATTCGGATGGTCAGAATTTGGCGTCAGCAACATGAAAGCATGGATCCATCCTTCCGTCCAACCTTATCAACGGTTCAGGTTGGTAGTGGTGGTGTAATGGTGTGGGGGATATTTTCTTCACACACTTTGGGCCCAATAGTACCAATTGAGCATCATGTCAACTTCACAGCCCATCTGAGTACTGTTGCTGACCATGTTCATCCCTTTAAGACCACAGTGTACTAATCTTCTGATGGCTACTTTTAGCAGGATAAGACACCATGTCATAAAGCACAAATAATCTCAGACTGATTTCTTGAACATGATAATAAGTTCATTGTACTCAAAGGGTTTCCACAGTAACCAGATCTCAATCCAATAGAGCACCTCTGGGATGTGGTAGAACGGGAGATGGATGTGCTGCCGAAAAATCTGCAGCAACTGCGTGATGCTATCATGTCAATATGGACCAAAATCCCTGAGGAATATTTCTCGTACCTTGTTGAATCTATGCTAAAAAGGATTAAGGCAGTTGCAAAGGCAAAAGGGGTCCAGCCCGCTACTAGTAAGGGTGTACCTATTAATATGGCCGGTGAGTGTAAGTTGACACTGACTTGGCCTATCTACATATTGCCCTATTTCCGAAAGATTTATTTAATCAAACCATTATCATATTGATGATCTCATATCTTGTATATGGATGATTTGTATTTTCAACAATTTCTTCCTAAAGAATAATCTATGATGCCCCCAACCCCTCTTTTTCATCATCTTTTTTGTTTGTTTTTGTTGTTTTTCATTTTAAATTATAAACAAAGATGTAAATATGATTGTGATGTGTTATATTGTAACATTTTTGTTATATTGTCACATATCTCATCAAAAAGATTGTTCAAAAAATATATTATTTATTTAAATTTCACTAAATGCTTTGTGTTTTTGTTCTTTCATTTTCTTTCCATTTCTTTCTTTTTTTTCTTTCTTTTTTACACCCCCTAAATTACAAGTCATTTGCATGCTTTGGCAGTGTTGTGCATGTTGACAGTCATGCCAGTAAAGCTCGACTCTGACTCAGCAGACACAGGAGAAACTGCTCAGGGAGATTAAAATCATTACAGACTCCTCGTTTATACTGGAATCTCTCTGGGAGTACAGGACAGCCGATCGCAACCATCACACACACAGCTCAGAACGCCAGCCTTAAAATCCCATCTGGAAAGACTTAACTGTCTCTCTGTGTGTGCGCGTGTATCTCTCTCTCTCTCTCTCACTCTCTCAGCTCCGGTTTTCCTCTCATTTTCACTCTGTCTGCAGGTTCAATCAGGACTCCCAAATATGTGGAGAATCTTTGCGTTCCCGGAGCTCCTGTCACCTGCAGTCTGAAGAACAGGAAGAAGAGCAATACTGGTGAGTAACTTCTTCTGTGTGTGTCAGAATCTGTGGCACAATTCTGATAGTCTGCACTTTTGAGTCAACGTGTGCTTTTGTTTATGCAGTGATCATTGTGTGTGGGTAAGGCGATGTTACTTCGTGGGGACCAAATGTCTTCGGAATGTACATTTGTATTGATTGATTAGAGAATCTGCTTTGTGTGAGGGTTAAGTTTAGGGGATGTAAATTAGCATTGCCCAAATATATATATAAAAAAAGAAAATAATAGTCAATGGAAAGTCCCCACAGTCTGAGTAAGATTTGCCCTTGTCATAAACTGAGGGATGGTGTTTTTCTGATGTGGGGAGTTACACGAATTTACAGCTGAGAGTTCGGTAAATCCAGCAGTCCATTAAACCGCATTCCTCCCTCCCTCTTACTTTTTTTTTTTTTTTTTACTTGGTGTGTACTTCTGTCTAATCTTGCTCTTTTCTAATGCTTGCATTCTTCATCTGTGCAAAGTTCTGGATGTTTAAGCTTTGTGCTAGTGTTCAAGCTGATTTTCTTGTTGTTTTTGGTTTTGTGATGCAGTTAGGATGGTAACATTAAGCTCTGCACTGGTAAATCTAATTAATTTCAGGAATTTTTGTGTGAAATATGGAGGGTTTACAGGTACTGGCTTTTTACATTGCACTAAACCGCAGCTTAACATCAGTTTAAAGGCCACTTTTGACTCCAGGTAAAGGAACTTTTCAGGCTTGTGATTTATAATTTAGGGTCAGCACTGATTTTTATGCAGTGTTATGATGCCCTGGATAGCATTGCTTTCGCAGGGTTAACCCTGCATTGCGGTACTAAACATGCAATGTGAAACAATGTCATGTTAGAACGTTACAATAAAGCAAAAAAGAAGTCAAATTGAGAAAAAAAAGCTTTAAATAGGGAAGAATTTAATGTTGTTTTGTGTTTTTATAGTTCCAAAAGTCCATCCAGGAAAAACTGGATGGCATCTGGCAATAGATAGAGATATGCCGATATTTAATATTTCAGTGTTAATGAATATTGGTATTGTGGGCTCATAAATTAACATAAATAATTATTTATTAGTTAAACCTTTAGAGTGCTTTTTGAGAATATTCACATTGTATTTGCAGTGGTGTTCATAACAGCACCTATAATTAACATTAGTTAATTTATCTAAACTCACTATGAAGCTACAAACACTTTAATCTTAGCTGATGTAAATCTTTTAGTTAATGCATGATATCCAGTAAAATCATAGTCATAATCTAATTCCAAGTTAATGACTAATAAAATTTAGTTATATTTTTATTTTTCCAATATGTACTGTAATGAATCTCTTTTCTCACTGTTGATTTTAATTCATTTACAAATGAGCCATTGCAGTAGAGTGTTACCTGATGTGCTTTATAATCCTTGGATTTAGGTTGTTGTTAGGTTGAAACATTTCCTTACTCTGAACATTTACATACAGTTGAAGTCAGAATTATTAGCCCCCTGAATTATTAACTCCTCTGTTTATCAAACCCCCCCCCCCCCCCCACAATTTTTCTGTTTGATAGAGAGACTTTTTTCAATGCATTTTTAAACTAAAAACTAATTTCTAATAACTGATGTATTTTATCTTTGCCATGATGACAGTAAATAATATTTTACTAGATATTTTTCAATACATTACAGCTTAAAGTGACTTTTAAAAGCTTAACTATGTTAATTATTTTAACTAGGCAGGTTAGGGTAATTAGGTAAGTTATTGTAGAACAATGGTTTGTTCTGTAGACTATGGGCAACAAATATCTTAAAGGGGCTAATAAGTTTTCCTTAAATGTTTTTTTAAAAATTAAAAACTGCTTTTATTCTAGCCGAAATAAAACAAACAAGACTTCCTCCAGAAGAAAAAATATTATCAGACATACTGTGAAAATTTCCTTGCTCTGTTAAACATAATTTGGGAAATATTTACAAAAAAAATAATAATAAAAGGGGGTTAAAAATTCTGACTTTAACAGATATGATTAAAAAATATTATTGTATTTACAGTTTAAGTAATTTTAGTGCAGATTAGGTCAATATCATGATAATAGCCTGATTAAAAACACGATCAATTAATCACAACAAGAAAATTTGATACCAGCAGAAATCTAACTGGCAATATAGAATGTAGGGCTATTCTGTATTAATTCATGCATGTGATGGCATTTTTCTATGTAACTGCTTAAGTCTTGATTATTCTGAGGTCATTCTAATATAGTGATTTAAGTTCAAGATTTGTGATCATTGTAATTATAATCAACGCTGAAAACTGTTGTGCTGCTTCATAATTTTGCTTCGACATAGAGAAAAACTCATAAACAACATTGCTTGCAAAATACTATAGCATTTATTTGAAATATGATAAATTAAAAAGCATAGCTACACTACTTAATAACAAATTTGGCTTCATACTGTCAGAAGTTTATAATATATTCATGAAAAAAATAGAATTTAATACAACTTGTTTGTCTGTCTATTCAAATGTTTTTGTTGTTTTTGTTATATTTGTATTTTTGTAAAAAGGTTTATGCCAGATAGCCAATATATGATACAATATAATATAATATTGTCAGAGAGTTATATTTCAAAGCACACATAACTCAAGGGTCTCTCTTCATTACCTACCGCTGTTCTGGTGAATCAGAGGGTGAGATATGCCTTGTCATATTTTCTAGTATTTTTATTGCACCAGACACAATGGCAGCTCGACAACAATTGTTGCTGTCTACTGGATGTGACAAAATTAATGTTGCAGATTATTGCAGATATTTTTTTTTTCAGTTTTGTGCATTGTTAAATGTGCTTTCTGTACCTAAATGAAGTGAGTAAACTCGGTGCCTTAAAGAGATAGTTTACTCAGAAATGGAAATGTACTCGCTTTTTACTCTCCCTCAAGGAGTTCCAAACCTTCGAGTTTCTTTAATCTGATGAACACAAAAGAAGGTATTTTTAAATCTGAAAACCTGTAACCCTTGACTTCCTTACTAAGAAATTAAATTATTTTAAAAAATCTTTATTTTGGGGGGATTTATCCCTTTAAAAGTGATACGTTTACTAAAAACAATTAGTAAACTCGTAACTGGGAATTGTTTAGTTGACTTAAATGTTTATAATGCACATAGTTCATTTACTTAATAGTTTTAAGACAATGGATTGGCTTTTTTTTGGTTGTTTTTTTTAAGTAAAGTAAATTTTTCGCTTTTTGTACTTGTTCACTGTTTAAAGAGTATAAATGTTTGAGAACATTGAAACTCTTTTATTGTGTCTTTTTTAATCTGATATTTGTGTTTCAAATTCATATTGTTAACAGATAGTGTTTAAGGAATATCAAGTTACACATTTAAGAATTGTCTAAAATCTGGTACTGTACACTCTTAGAAATTAAGGTACAAAAGCTGTGACTAGGGCTGTACCTTTTTTTAAAACTACATTTCTACATCTGAAGTATCTATATTAGTAACCTAAAGGTGCATATACCTTGTATACATCCTCTAAAACAAAAAAAAGAGGATGAAAAAATAGGTCCTTTGTTTGTGAACACTTGGTATATAAGGCTCGTATTTATATTTGTACCTAAAAAGTACAGTGTAGTATACTTACATTTTTACCAATATGGACTTTTCATCATGTTAGAGACCATAGAGCATTTGAAATGGTGAGAAATTGAAGTATGAGGTGATATGGAAAAAAAAAAGTTGATTAATTTAGGTGGAAGTGATAAACTGCAAGCTTTAGATGTTTATATCGGTTTTATAAATGTGAATTCTGTCACTGTTTTGGAGTACATTAGCTAATAGATATCCCTAAAACTAACAGAATGAAACTAACATCTAAAAAAAACATTTTAATTTCATGGAACATTTAAAAACAAAGAGAATTATTTCTATTCATTTAGGGGCACACAGACACTTACATTCATATGTTCCCCAATTAAAAGTTACTTGTTATATCTGGGCCCTCTCTCTCTTTCTCTGGAAACCTTTCTTCTGTTTCAAGCGGTCCTCGTAGTTGCTTTGCAATTTCTCTAATTATCTTACAACACTGGTGCATACAAATGATTAATTATGAAGCAGACACTCCTCCGCTGTTTGATGGTGTCTGATGCAGATCGTGTGAACGCAGCAGATGCAGATGAAGCTGCTGTACATGCAAATGAATGATCTTCATGTCAGTGACGGCGGCCCAGATGACTTTGACTTTCAGCTCGAGGTTCACCGTCTTGACAGCTGTACTATAAATGAGCGTTTGCCTTTGCTCCTCTCTCTCCACACCTGCGTGAACTACAAACTGGGCTCAAAATAGAGTCTGTAGAGGGAGACGAAATTGAGGTGTCCATGCCAAACAGCAGCACAACAACAAAAACAACTTTAAAATTGTTCAAAAGTCATGAGAAAATAAGCGAGTTTGTCGTTGTACTTTTTTGTTGTTGTCGATACAACCAGTTGATGGCCAGTTGTCACTTATTTGAGTAAAGGGTGAGTTAAAGGGACAGATTACCCAAAAATGAAAATGATCATCATTTAAAGTGATAAGATCACTTAGTAAACTTGGAATCAAGTTCACTTAATTTTATATTAATGCTCATATACACTCACCGGCCACTTTATCAGGTCCAACTGCATGTTAGCGCAAGCTTCTAATCAGCCAATCACATGGCAGCAATTCAATGCATTTAGGCATGTAGACATGGTCAAGATGAGCTGCTGCAGTTCAAACCGAGCACCATGATGGGGAAGAAAGGTGATTTAAGTGACTTTGAACACAACCATCTCTAGGGTTTACAGAGAATGGTCGGAAAAGAGATAATATCCAGTGAGTGGCAGTTCTGTGGCCGCAAATGCCTTGTTAATGCCAGAGGTCAGAGGAGAATGGCCAGACTGGTTTGAGCTGATAGAAAGGCAACAGTAACTAAAATAACCACTCGTTACAACTGAGGTATGCAGAAGAACATCTCTGTACGTCGAGCCTTGAGGCGGATGGGC